AAAAAAAAAAAAAAAAAAAAAAAAAGAAAAAAAAGGTGAGAGAGATAGAACGAGGGAATCGGTACTACATAACGACGTGCGCGTACTATGTAACTCGTGAAAATCAGTAAAATGTTTCGGGCCACTTTTCACCTCGTCGTCATGATGCACCGCGGTCCAAGTGCATTTTTTCGACAGCCCGGTAAAAAATGTGCTCTTTGCGCCCCTTCTCGCTATTGTTCGTTCCGTATTTGATTATAGATGTATCGGTGACGGGATAGATTTCACGGAAAAATTCGAAATTCGTCGTAAAGAGTAAAATTGGTTAATCATTTTTTTTCTATTGAAATTTTGACTATTTTATTACAGTTTTTTCCCACAAAGTTTTATTTTATGATTAATCGTGAAAAATCGATGAAGAGAAATCTATTACTGACGTGACTAGCCTAATTATTTTACATTTCATATTAATAAAGTAAGAAATAGAATATATTTTATGAGAGATGGTAGAGAAGAGATTTTTATCCATTATTTTCTAAATTTTCTAAATAAAAGAACTCACGAATTTTATTTGCAAAATTCGATTTTGTATCAGGAGAACATAAATTGATAGGAAGTCGCTCGAAAAATTTTTCTAAAAATTTTAAGTTCTTGGAAATGACGACAAATTCTTAATAATTATTAATAATTATTTTTTTAAAAAAATATATAATTTATATCGTAATATTGAAAGTATTGCGAATTTTGAATATTATCAAAATTTGATACGTTAGCTACTAAATGATTACATCCATTAACGTTAATGCATATTCGGCTGTAATAAATATTAAAGCTAGACCTGTCATTAATTAATATTTAGGATAATATCTATTATCTTTATATTATATACATATACATAAAAGCATAAATATATATACTTATGTATATATTTACGTTTAAAATGTATACTTAATATTTACAATGTAAATTTGGAATGTGTATGTAAGTGATTAAGGGACTGTTTTAAATTTAGATGTAGTGTTTTTGTAATGCTAGAATCTCTATATATTTAATAAGAAGTTTAACTTTTAATTAGCTACAAATTCATAACTAATTACAAATCATACCCATAAATACTAATAACAAGATTTAATTAATATAATATCGGACCCATATGCGCCTTGAAGATACCATGTGCTCGTAGAAATGTTAATTTCAAACGAGAAAGGGTCAATATAAAGAGCAATATGGAAGCTTAACCCCTCTCAAGGGAATAATAAATATAAATGCATACTTCCGACAGTGAACTTACTTCATCATCGGTTAATTGCGACGTTCAAAATGGCTTTCGTGTTGCTCGATGTATATCAACGAAATGTTTTAATATTAATTACATTAATAATTATTATTTAATGCATGTAATTAGTAATAGAAAAAAATACGATGAAAAATAAATTAAAACGATTTAAGAGAAGTTATTTATCTCCAACTAAGAACGACGCGAAAATATTTCCAAGTCGCAATACATTTTCGTTAGGTTAACTTCGAAACATGAAAAAGCATCCAACATAGACGAAAGTCATTTCTCAGCCGTACCACGAGAAATCTCATTCGTGTTAAGATTAAATTTCTAACGTGTGAACTCTGCCTCTTACCTTATAATTCATCCCTTCGCGTGTTTGCGTTACTTGCGAATCTGCCAACGTGGGCGAATGGAAGGTTAGGGAGTTGTCGTCGTTGGAACACGCTGATTACAGAAAACCTGTCGCGTTGGCTTATATATTCACAGAATACGTTCTTGCACCATCAGCTAGTTCGATTTCGATGCTCCTTTTCACCACGATCGTTATTAACTCTTTAATCTTATTAACTCTAAACGTGTATAGTAATCATATCACTTTATTCGGAAATTGACGAAATAGACCACGAGAAAACGATTAAATCCCGCCATTTCTACTACACACGATCGTGACATCTACTGCACTAGTCATTTTCGACACTCTGAATTATGATTAAATTTTAAACACGATATTTGTTTGCATGCAACATATTATCTCGTTATTTCAATTTATTTTATTATATTATTAGGATTTAAAATAAAACTTAATATAACTTCTCTTCGATAGTATGTCGATTTTCCATACAGTCGTTCGAACTGCGTAGTAGATTTTGCTAGTTATTAATTTCCGCGAATCAGATATCGTGTTTCATTTTTGTCCGTTAGCCAATCGTATAGGTCACTATTTTTAGTGATCATATACACATTGGACATAGTTGCATATTCCAAGTTAACAAGCGTCGTTATTAATTTTCTATGCGTGTTATAATTTTGGCTTCGTAGACTTAACGTAAAATACATACAAGAAACGACACGATCGACGTGTCGATCCTTGTTGCGACCATTTAGCGTTGAGTGGAACTATCTTCGTTGCGCGCGCAACGCGTGCTGTTGACCCATCGTCATGGCAACCGTGCGACGAGTCTACACTCCAAGGTGGATGGACTGCGACCGAACAGAAGTCAGTGCACGCGCGGACGTCGAGCCGTATGTTTATGTTCTCTTTGTGCGAATTTTTCGTGACGTTTAACTTTCTCGTGTCGTTCGTAATACCATCGGTTTACAGTGCTTGTGTTTTTGTATCATTGGACAAACAGCGAACTGCCAAAAGGGTTTCGCAAGGATCAAAATTCATCGTGGCTAAAGAGATCATGGAGTGACTGTTCATCGACTTCTCAAATAAGGTGAGTGTCACATTATATTCATCGATATATTACGAATATAGGCGTCTCTATCGAATTAGAAAAATCGATCGCGTTTAACGGAATCATTATAATTCTGTTAAAAAATATTCGTGCATTAATATCGTTACAAACGTGTATCGTTGACTGACGCTTAGTTGTCAGACGATAAAATTGAAACGATAAAACCGATAGGATATTGAGAAACGCTTTCTCGTAACATGGCAGCCGTTGTAAAAAGAACGAAATGGTTTGTGTGTGGATTCAACAACCGATATTATATCGATATTGCGTTCGATAGAATGGTACGATCACATAATATAGAGTAAATGGCTATAAAATGCGTCAAAAGGAAAAAAAGTAAAATGGCTTCCTATTCAACTACATATTTAGGCGCGAAAATTTGAATCGGACAATTTTTTCTCGAAATATTATTATAGGAATAAAATATGTGACGATGCATATTTTAATGCTTTTAAACATAAAAATATCGTATTTTAAGGACAATATAATGATGCGTTAGAACACGTTAATGGAAACGAATGTTTCTCAAGTGCTCCAATCTCTGTCAACCACCGGTCGAGTGGTTCGTTCTGCTTTTAGTTTTGAAGATCGCGTTAGAAGTGAGTGCGTCGTTTATCAGGTTACGATGAAAGCGGCGTTATCCTCGGGCTGAATGCACTTTCGTGATTTTTTTCCCTCATCGTTTCGATTTTGGTTAGGTCGAAAAGCTTTTCACCCGAACTATCGACCCTTTTAAACTTCGCGTTGTTCGTATAGACGCAACCATTGCTTTTTATTCGATATTTTAGTGACTTTTAGAAAATTACGTTCCCTTTGTCGCAGAATGAAAAAATTACCTTCCTTTTTTTTTAATTTTATAATAATTTAAAGAAATTTTTATTTTATTTGTCCCATTTATCAAAATTTAATAATTAAAATTTTAAAAATGTTTTTAAATCGAACACAATAATATTAATTAAACGGTAGGCAAAATTCCAGCAATTATTTCGGATGAATCATTGCGAAATATATTCCGAAATCATTTATAAAATTAACGAAAATAATAATTTTCAAACGATTGACAATATTTTAAGAAATTCATCGATCAAATTCAAATTTTAATAACTAAAATAACTTTCGTCAGAGAAGTCATGAGAAACGAATCGAAAAATTTTATCCCTATCTTTCACTTCATTCTAACATACAATATAATCATTTTCCAAATAATATAGATTATTCCACGATTAAAATCTCGACCGTGTAAAGACCTAACATCTCTCGCTCTCGCATTATTCGCGGCATCTCATTTATAAATCAGTACGAAACGCATCTGTTCACAGAAGCCTGTCTAAATCGACTTAACCGGAAGTCTTCTCCAAAGCTTCGCGAACTCGCCTATTTCGAGCGATGTAATTTCACCTAAGATCGTTGGAGTGATCCACGGTACACACAAAATGGCGTCTCTGAGACGGGGTTTGCAGCGGTTCGGTTTAAAAGAGCCGGCCAAATTCCGCCTCGGCGGAAGCTGCAGACGCCGCTGACTTCCGTTTTAGCCCGCCCGTTTCAAGGTTAACACCGCGAAGACGCGCTCCAGTCCAAATATTTCCCTTTCGAATAAGCTCGCCTCGCCTCTCTGCCGCCTTTGTTTTCGTTCCACCCTTCCCTGTTCAAAGGGATCCGTGACTGCTCAAACTCGGAAGTAGCTCCTTCAGTATTCGGTGCACGATTCCCCGCGTGCATTTGCATCCGGTTCAGAGTCGATTTGTCCATTTACGCGATACGAAACGAGACTACGCCCATCTTTTCCATTTCTCGTTGAGAAACGTGAGTCTGGATGAAACGATGTTTTTTAATATATTCGCGAACGAATTTTTTTGTTTGCTTTTTGAAAAGCAATAAGTTTTTCTTGTGGAATTTTAATCTTTTTTTTTTTTTTCTATTTTGAAATTAAAAATAGATATCTTATTACGTTAGAAATGGGTATAGAATTTGAATTTGAAATTTGTGTGATGATTTTTGGTAATCGAAAGATATATGTTTATATAAAATAACTTTTAAATTCTTTTTTTATCTCTCTTTTAGAAAATATTAATAGTATTTAATTAGAAAACGTAGATTCAATTAATATGGCAACTTTTTAAAATTGTATTTGTATTGTCCCACTAATGAATATTTCTTTGTTTCATTTGTAAGAAGCAACAATTTTCCTTCCTTTTTAAAAAAAAAAAGAAAAAATTGGGACGTACGTATTCCAGGAATTTTTTTCAATTATGCAAGAATTTGTAAATAATAAATTTTTCATCGTTTTATCGTTTTAATAGTAGCAAAAGTTTTCCCTATAATTTTACTCTCTGACGAGGAGTTTAATCCAAATCTCCCCTTTCGAACCAAGTTTTTTTTTAGAAATTGATAATATTATAGCACGGCATACATCGAAGTTTAAAACAGTTGGCGAGCTGCTATAGAATATCTGGCGTAATAACGAAAGGGCACGTATCCACGAATAATATTTCGACGCGATATAGACCTCGCCTATAGTCGCGAAAAGGGTTGCACGTGCAGCAAACACGTGGGGGATCGTACTCTTCAAACACGTCAAAGAACATATTTCGTGTTCGAATAGGATAATCAAGCGAGGACTTGTGAGATTTATGTGCCGATGTAAATTCATGCGATAGCTAATACGAGTGTGTGTCGCAACTGGAGAAACTAATAATTACTACTGCTAGCATGTATAGAGATAATGGGGGTGGGGCAACGTTGTAGAATGCAATTTACAGTAATAGTATCGCGATAAGGAAATCTGATAGGATTTATAATAACGATATCATAGTCAATTACGGAAAATTATTATATTCACTTTATCAGACGACGAAT